GGACTCAGTATATCTATCAAGATTTACATAGACCTTTTATTTAGTTTCAATAATATTATATGAACAATGTGTTTTCACATCATTAATTAATGGAAATATTCAGATGGAGTGGTCGAGTGTACTACGGTGTTGGTTCAAACATGCACTATCGCCAGTTTGAATCCTGGCCGAGGTCGGCATCTCTAACTGGACAGGCAACTGTTTARTGGGCAAGACCGCCATCCCCCAACCTGTGTGGCAGAAACCTATAGGTCCTTAATCAGAAATTCTGCTTAATAGGTGCCCAAATTATAGGTCTTAGGGCCTACTCCCAGTAATAGCGCCATATGCGAAAAATAAAAATGAAAATATTTTTAATAGGTATTTATCATGTCATCTGGTATAAATAATCTATTAATTTTGTGCTACAAAATTGTTTTCAGGTTGTATGTGAATTCTTAAAAACAATTGTTTCTAAACTACAAGAAGACTGTTCATTGGCTCTAAATGTGATTATCGAAATTCTAATGATTGGATTTAGAAAATCCCCACAACCTGCAGGAATGATACTTTTCAAAGAAGTAATTTAGCTATTGATTAAACCTTAACTGGGTAATAATTTAATCACTTATGATGTCTTTCATTATTTATTTTAGATAGTAATTATGTTCGGTCGTCAAGAAACATATATTCCACTTATTAAATCTACATATGAAGAAATTTGTATGAGAGTAAAATGTATGTTTGAACAAGTATCTCCTGCTGATCAATTTAGTCTTGGTGATGTAATGGAGTCTTATTTATCTCTTCAAGGACATATATTCAGAAAATGGCCATTTATTGCTGTGGACAATCCAAATGTAGATTTTACATTTGTTTTCAAACTAGGTATTAATTCAACAAGCAAAAGATTTAAATTCATGATGAAAATATAAATATTATTTTTTAGCATCTGAAGCGTTATGTGCAAATGAGATATTTTTAGCAAAAACAGCAACATTCTTTTTAACTGCGTTTATAAGTACAAGCAGAGAAAAAAGATCCTTATTTAAAGTTATAGAAGATAATGGTCAATTCCTTGTTATGAAAATAATATGTATTATTAGTAAGTTGTTAATTTAAATATGTAAATATAATATTAAGTTAATTTTTGATTTATGTACAGAAGGTGATGTAGTAAAAACGAATTTGGATATAATGTGTGAGGTTTTGTTAATGTTAAATAAAAAATATTGTGATAATTTAAGAAGATGGTTTCACGATATTGTCACAGTACAAAATATTGTTCTACCAAATGTAACAGAAGATATGAAATCTAAATTTTTYAAACGTGTACTTAGGTTAGTGTAATAAATGTTATTATGTTWTTAATAACTAGACAATTGACAATTACAATAGTAATAATCATTTTTTTTTTTTTAGAGAAAAAAGTAATAAAAAAGCTTTACAAGGCGCAGTCAGAGAATTTTCATTTATTTGTCGAGGTTTAATTCAAATAGATCCTTAAACAAAACTATGAATAGATATTCTCAATTTATTAAAAGGTAATTTTATTATTATAAATAAATCACATTTATTTAGTGTATGCTTCGTCATCAGATGATGATATATTGGCTAGATCTTCTATTTCTTCATGTTCCTTGCCACTTTCTATGCCAGCAAAGTTTTCAAGTAATTCTCGTTTTTTAAAATCGAGTATCAAATTTTGAATATCTTCATCGCTTGGAACAGGTGGTGGATGTATATAACGTGAACTGCTAAACATAGTTGAAATATCTTCATCATCACTGTCAACTTCTTCAAAAGCCTAGAATTAAAACAATTGAGACAAAATATCAAACTATGTTCAAATACTGAAATAATTATCATTTTTCTTACCAAATCCATTTCATCACGAATAGTTGCCTTTTGACCCAAAGCTTCTAACACTAATAAAGTATAAAAATAACAATGATATTAAAAATGAAAAGATTTTAAACCAATAGTTCTAAACATACTCATTTTTTCTTTCTTTGTTTCCATGGCCAACAGAAGACCATCTTCCTCATCCATATATCCATAATAATCAGCGTCTATATTTTTCATAAGTTCAGCTCTAGTACGACGTGGWGGTGGAGGAGGTTCATGCTCAAACAGTTCTCTAACACCTGGTAGATCTTTAGCAGCTCCAAAATATTTGTAACCCCTGTTACCAGGAACTTCTCTGCCCTCATGATCAAGCATCCGTGGTCCCATTCGTAAGAAATCTGGACCACCRAGTTCACGAATTTGATATTCCCAGTGTTTTTTTTCTCGCAGTAATTTATTGATCTCATCATTAAGATCACGTAATCTAAACTCTCCCAATCCAGCTAAAATTAAATGAATTTTAAAAATTTATATTATAAATTAAGAATATTAATAACATATACCATTTTGTATTTGTGCAACTTTTTTTGATATTTCTCTTATAATTTGAACTCTCCATTTTTCAGCTGCCTTCAAGTCTGTGCATTCAGTAGCCAAGTACGGCCGTCGTTCTTCCTTGCCACCATGTTCCTTCACCTGAGCAGCTCTCCATCGAGCTAATGTAGTCCTATGTATAACATTAACATAATTATTAAAAGGTATAGAATGTAAATATTTAATTTTTTGACTTAACCTATTATCTTTATTAATGTAAAATAGAGTAAAATATTTTTTCTGTGATCCATTTTTTTTTTTTTATTAACTCTTTTACAACAGTTTTTTACAATTGTATGCATATTTTAATTATATTGTATATACCTCTTAATTAAAGTATATTATACCAATCACAATCTTATAATTTGTTACATATCAAAAAAATAAATATCTTTCCATGCAGGGATCAAAACCGGTTAGAACTGTGATTTTTTCATTATTTAATATTGTAACCAAAACTGACACCGAAAGCCTTAAAACACTGGTTAAAAAGCCGTAACTGAAACCCAAGATTAACCTAACCGATTAAAAGTTTTAACTTATATCAGTAACTAATGTCAGTTTCTTAGAATTTTATAAAATTGATTATATTAATTAATATTCTAGTTAAAAAGAGTATTTTCATACAAATAAAATAATATAATGTTTGAATTTATTAATAAAGATCGGGATGCTATTAGATACTCAGTATCACAAAATATTCATTGGTAATACAAATATTATTACCAATGAATATATTATTTTATTGATTCAAAATTAAAAAAAAAATATATCACAAACTCTTAAATTCATACATTTCCATTATAAGGAAGCTACAGTTGACATTTTAAGTATCAATTTTTAATTTTTTAAAGTTACACATTTTTATCAATGAAAATCAGACAAAAGACATACTATCACAAATAAAGAAAATAATGGTGGTTATATTATTTAAATGTATTCCCATTTCCTGTATTCTAACTATTACAACACAAGTACTAAAATAATGATAAATTGTATTTATAATGTTATAGTRTATTATTCATTGCCTATTGAGTATTAGTGATAAATGCGACRAAAATAAAAAAATGTAAATTTCTAACGATTTCTTGGTCTGTCTAAACTATTGTGTGCCCTTAGTAGTAAATAGATAATATTAGTTGGGTCGACAGTTATTAGATGCAGGAAAATAGAACCAAAATTATCAAAAACTGACAAATTTTTTAAACCTTTTTTGGAAACCAAACATTGTAAAAACCGTTCTCAAAACTGAAATCATAACGGTTAAAATTTGAAATGGTTTTGATCCGTTTCCATGAATTCAAATCGTAAAATAACTCACATTGCTTTTTCCGCGTTTCTGGCCATGGCTGACGTTTATGCTTTATTGTTTAATGTTGAAAACTTTTATATATAACTCTGAACATATTCTGAACCACAATACTACATAGTACATAGAAAAAGATATCATTTTTGAGTCAATTATATTTTATCAGGACTCATGTTCAGTGCACCAATTACTATATTGCCTACACTGGATGGATAACATTCGAAACCATGAATTATATACAWACAATTTTACCGTGTGGCGTGTATGGAATATATACGATATAAGCAGTGTCACCACACACAACTTCGCGGCAAAATTAAAAGGAAAGGAGAAAGGATGTCATGTGCATTATGTTTATTTGTGCATATTATTATTATAAGATTTTTTTTTCAGATGCATCTTGCATATTCTGGCATAAGCCATTTGCCGGTTGTCCCATTGTCTTTATGATTTTTAATATGCGTTATAGTGCTAAGTACTGTAATATACTAATGAGAAATATTATAGTATTTTGTAATTTTTTAGTAAAATTTACTACGTACATCGTTCTACAGCTGCTGCTGTTGGCTAAATTAAATATTAAACAATAAATAGCATAGATATCAAACAAAAACTTTGAACAAATGACAATTAAATATTTCTTTTAATATAAACTCTTTCGCACGACTTATGTTTGGGATTGCACACGTGCGACGTGCCCCGGATATAAATCATATACAAACGCATTGAATAATATTTTAATATATTCTATATTTATGTGGCCCAACTAAATAAATATATTATAACATATGTTTTGTTTATGAAATAATGTACGAAGGCAAATAATAAATTATTGTACGACGAACCACGTTCGAATAAATGTRTAAAAAATGTCCTAAATCGTTACAACTTAACAGCAGCGTAATCAAACATCAACCCGTCCCCCCCTAGGCTCCAATCACCGTCCACAGTTCCTCACGGTAATGGCGGTAACAATTGAACAATCATACGAGTGCTGTGGATAACGAGGTGCAAGTCATAGTATCGGTTTCGGCGGCGGACACCGGGCCGGCAGCCGCGCGKGCAATGATTATCGACTTTTTTGCCGGGCGCTGTATTCGGCGGAAGAGCCGACGTCCGACAGTGTTGCCAACCCAACAATCCGCCGGAGCGCAAAGAATTAGTCTTTGGGTGGGAAGCGCGGTGGTCGCGGGAACCGGGAACCGCTGCCATTGGTCTGCCGGGGCCGGTACGGAAAATGCTTTCTTTGTCCGGCACTTCGGACGTATAAGTGTATAACGTATTTACGCGCAGCGCTCTCGCCTCCGTCGCCCACCGCTCCCCCGCGCCGGCCCGCCCACTGCAGTGTACGCGCACACACGAATGATCGTCGTTCCCGGTCGTTCCACACCTAGCGCGCCAATTTCTCGTCGTGTTTATATTATTTTTGTTTTTTTTTTCTCTTGTTTTCACGAATTCACGTATCACTCGCGCCGGTCGCTTCGACTGTCGATAATTGTTCGCGGATCGTTTCGTCGTGAATAAATACCGTCGAGGTGCTTCAGTCGAWCCAGTGACTACGTACACCGCGTCAAATATCGTCGTCGCCGCCACTATCTCGCATTTTATTTCGTTGTATGTATTGACGCTATTGTAACATTACCGGCGTACTACCCCGTAACCAGTAACCACCACCACCACCACCACCGTTTACGCTGGACATAACCACGGCCGCAGACGGAACCGACAGAGAATCATCACGGCGGTCGAGATAGCGTACCGGTTTACTACGCACGGACACGTTTACGACGTACAGGTGAGCAAAGTTTTGGCGGCAACTTAAACGTCGTGATTGTATGTTACATAAGCGCGCGTCGACGGGCCATCGTCGTTTTCGAAAACCGCACTTGTGCCGCCCCGCTGAAAATTACGCCGGTTGCCGGGTCCCGCCGGTAGATAAAAATTGTACAAGGTCAAGCCCGGGGTCCCGCCATAATGGATCGCGTTAGCCGATGGTGGTTGCCATGGCGACCCTAGTGACGAGTAGTTCCACGTATAATTGCTATTACCATTATCGTAATATTATTAATCTAATACGAACAACAATAATAATACGTTGAACTTTGAACCTCTTTTTTGTATGTCGTTATCGTTTCACTRAMATAATAAATAATAATATTGTAATTATRTCTTGATCGTCTTCGCTTAGTGCGCAGTGCGCACCGCGTATCTCGTGGGTCGTGACGAACGCGTCTGCGGTCCCGGCCGACCAACTCCGTCCTTTGTTGTTGTTACTGCTGTGATGGTAGGTTTTGGTCGGTCCGGACACAAAAATMTAAACACTCGAACACGTGCTCTCTGTCCCTGGCGCGCTGATTGTTTTTAATAATTTAAAATGGTATTGGGCAAATCGTTCTCGTGCGTGTGGTATTTATTATTTACCGGTCGAAGGTTATGGCGGCATGCCGCGATCGTGATAATTCACCGGCCGTCGCCAGGGCGCTTCTCCTTTGTTATAGAAAGTCCACCCGGCTACCTGTAGTCAGCACGAAATAAATAGAATGTACCATGTTAACAGAACGTACGTGTTCAAGCCTCAAGGTCCACCTCGCCCCCTCTCGCTTCGTATCTGCCGGTTCGCTCCGCTTCCGCGGATCCGCCGTCTGCGCGCGGGAACGTTTTCCCTCCAAACGGTCTACGAAATGTATGTTTTGTTATGATTATTTTCCACMCAAGGTTACTCAATGTTGCTCATTGTTGTTGTTTTGATGGGCGGCGGCGGTGATATCCCCTTCGATGTCATTTACTCATGTCCCGTGCTTCTCCAATTAAATTATAATATGGTTTGGGTATTTCGATTTTCGGTTTTTTCGTATTTCGTCATGCCTACACATACCGTTCAGACGCATTCAAATTATTTTATCGTTATCGCGGTATTCGCCGGACATGTCGTATTCGTATATGCCTAAAATKCACTGTATTGCTGCACGCAATATTGTTGCTGTTGTTATTTATTATTATTGCCACTGTTGCTCTGGTATTATACAACGATCAACTCGGCGCCGCCCGTTCACGTTAACAGTTTTACACATGTTATCGGAATTTTTTTTTTTCTTATTGCCAGTTGCTGCACTCTCTGTTACTGGGTTATGTTTGTTTTATTCGTTACGAGGACTGGTACAATCGTTCAGTTGTTATATGAAATTATTATATCGGTCGATCGTGTTCGTAATAATTTTATAATTTAATGACTGGGGCGATAACTATATATGWAGTGTAATGTATATTTTATACAATTGGCGCATGTTTTGCTAGTAATATTATATTAATGAAATATAAAAGTATCTAAAATATTATTTTTTATGACACCAATCCCTTGTGTTTGTTATAATCATCGTGATCGTGTCTAGTGGTTTTTGATTTTTGAATGAACACCGCTAAATTTCCTGGCCGTTGTTTCTCATTAAATTTAAACATTCCGTCATAGTAATGACGGCGATAAGGTTCCTTAATTGCACAAGGTACAACTGCGGTGTACGTTTATACTTTTACGTTTAGATGCGCTATTCTGATATTTGAAGAAATTATTTGATAAATTTCCAATCGATCATAGATAAACCCGTGCACCAATGTATTATTCTATATTAATATATCATACAGTTAGCTCGATATTATAGTCGTAAAATTTAATTTTAGAATGTTGAACGACCTGCTTTGGATAATATTTATCGATAATTCTTAACTAAATGTTGAGTTCTCAATCTCTCCAATTAATGTTGACATAAATTACTTCTTAAAAGAAATTATAGATAGCCTGTGTAATAAAAGTACTTAGATACTCTACTTTTGTTGACAGGTGTTTATTCCATTATGGCGTTATTGCTTTTATTTTAGACGGAATAGTTAAAGTAGCAACATACGTTGAGTTAGTCTTTGAGGAAGAGGAATTTATTTTATTATTATTTTAGGAAATCTAAAAGTAATGTAGGCATATTATAAGATTATTTAAAAATTTAAGTTCTTAAATATTATATTCATTTTCAATGTATGGCCAAAATTATTTATGGCTGAATGCTTAATATCAAGTACGTTTTTAGAACAAACATTATTATGCCGTAATTTAGCAAGGGCTTATAGTCCCCCTTTTTCAAATATGAGTTGTTATTGATTTTTAGTATTAATACGTGGCGCCATCTTCTGGCACAAATACATCTACATGAAATAACTGTCAAATACATTTTATTTTAAATTGTGTTTTACTTGAATTTTACGTTCTAGAATCCTAAAATTTGTTGATTCCATAACTTTTTTTGTTATGAATAACAAGAAAATCTACAATCTGTATTAAAAGTAAACATTAGGTAACATGGTGGTTAGATTACAAAGCATGATGGCTTGATTAAAGGGGACACTACTTCACAATTCTAGACAGACTTTTTTTTTCTTTTCTTAATTTATTTTTTAAAGGTTGAGGAGGTCTCAGGGCTGATTTTGCTTATGACAACAAGACCGGGTTATCTGAAGTGTGAGGGTGAAGGTTGAATATTAGAGGATTAGAATGGTTATACATGTTTTTATGAATAATTTATAGTAGTGACTAATTTATATTAACATACAACAACATGTTAATTAGACATTAATCTACCTAATGTTTTTAAAATGTTATAATTATTTAATTTTGTTTCCAGTTATATCAATTAAAAAAACATCATGGATCTTGGAACATTAGATAGTCTTACTTTTTATCAAGACTGTATAGACTTTGACATGAAAAGTGATTATGATCGTGTTTTATCAAATAGTAGTTTCAACTATGATGATTCCTTGTCATTAAATGATGACAACATGATGTCCATGATGGATCCGCTCAATTCTGGATTATGGCTCAATTCTGATTCAGATTATCACCATCATTTAGACTTCATGGAAGGTGACTTGGAGTCAGCTATCATGGTTAATCCTAATTCTGTAATACCATCATCTGCAGCAGCTGCTGAAATTAAAGTTAAAGAAGAATCAGTTGAACCAGTTTTACCGAATACATATACGCCTTTTACAATTAAACAAGAGAAGCTTGAACCAGTTGAACCTCAAGAAGTTAAGATTAAGTTACCTGAAATTAGTCCAGAATGCATTAATATAAAATCTGAAAAATCACCATTAGAAATAACTAAAGTGGAAGAACTTAAACCTATACCAAAAGCTATTAGGCTATCTGATTTGTTAAGTCAAACATCGAGTACTGGACACCAGAAGACTGAATTAATGACTGTACGTGTAACAATGCCATCAGCTTTGCCCACCCTAAAGACAACTGTAACTACTAGGACAGTTCCTATTTCTTTTGTTAATAATACTATTTCCGGACATTACAAAATTGTTAGGCCTAAGCAACAAATAAAACCTATTCAATCAAGAATCAATGGCAACAAAATTAATGAAAATATGGGCTTATATCCAAGACCTACTTATTCCTACTCATGCTTGATCGCTATGGCATTAAAAAACTMAAGCTCTGGATCCTTACCTGTTTCAGAAATTTACAATTTTATGTGGTAAGAAATTGAGCATGTAAATTTTAAAAACTTATGTGTTATGTTATGTATATGTTTGTTTTAGTRATTAATCATTTGATAATATTGTATGTTTTTTTTCAGCAAACATTTTCCTTATTTTAAGACTGCCAGTAGCGGATGGAAGAACTCTGTTCGTCACAACCTTAGTTTGAATAAGTGTTTTGAAAAGATTGAAAAGCCGATTGGTAGTACGGGCGCACCAAGGAAAGGATGTTTATGGACGATGAATCCTAGCAAAATATCAAAAATGGATGATGAGATGCAAAAATGGTCGCGTAAAGATCCTTCTGCAATTAGGCGTGCAATGCTAAATCCTGGTAAGTTACAAACATAACTAAATAATTTAATTAAACTATTAATAATTATGAATGATTTAGAACATTTGGATTTGCTTGAACGTGGCGAGATGAATGAATGCTTTGATCGACGTGACAGTTATTACTTTGATGATGAAGAAGAAGAGGAAGAAGAAATAATCAGTCAAGAAATGACATCAGAAGACGACAGAATCAGTGATGTTGAAGAAGAATCTGATAATGAGTCAAGAGCTGATAAGGATGATTCACCATATCAACTAATAACATTTGGCCTAGATGACTTAGCTAACCTTAATGACCTTGGCAATGATGTAAGTGTTTAATCTTTTTATAAATTTCAATTCTRATAAAAAATCAAATATTTAATTATTGCAGATTGATGATGATGAAGAAATTGAGGAGAGTTCAAATGATGGTAGTTTCGGCATTGAAGCTTCAGAATACAAAACAAACTTTGACGATTTGATATCTGTTCAAGATATGCCTATGACATATGTAGTTCAGCCTCAAAATAAGACTGTAATCAACAATAAACGACCGTATCAACAACCTTTATATAAAGGTAGTTATGTGTTAACTAAAAATGTTACATCAAATGTACCAAGTCCAAAGCGAAAATTCATCAGCAGGCCCGTATCAATATTAAGAAATATTTAATATGAACATTTGATGTAACGCAAGAATAACATACAGGCCTTGATTAATTGCAATATTGGTAAAATGCATAATTTGCTGATAACCCAATTTTAATATTTTAGTCATATTAATTTCATTTTGGTACTTTTGAGTCTGAATAGTCAAATTACAATGGGTTACATATCAAGTGTGTTATGTAATATAAATGTATACAATTTAATTTTGTGATGATTTTCGTGATTATTTGAAACAGTAAATACCACATAATATGTAGTTTTTATTTGTATGTGTACTGTGTAGACATAATTATAGACTGCTAAATTAAGTTCCCAATGGTCAATTACTAGCTATTACTTCTATAATATATTTATTTTATTTCTTGATATAAKAAAAATAAATAGTTTTATTTAACTGCTGTACTTTTATTTGTTCAAGGAAGTATATAAATCACATTCAATTAATGTATTTAACAGAAGTTAAACTTAGTTCTTCATACAAAAATAATTATTATGATTTCTAATTTGTTCTATTTTATCAATTTATTTCCTTTTTAATCGCTTAGACTCAATATTACTTACATAAGTATATAATTTTTGTATAATATATGTTTAAATTTGATGACGGTCTTTTTATAGTTTAAATAAATTGTTAAATCATAACTTAATTGAAATCTTATATTATTAGTTACAAGAATTAATAACATTTACAATACAACCATATTTTATAACAATTTATAATATTAATTGTGAAACTAACAACTATTTGATTTTGATACTTCCTTTGAATAATTAAAAGTTTTTTTTTTTTAATTTTAATACGGTTTCAATGTAATATTTTTGTGATTAGTATTTAAATTTTAAATACTAATTTATTTTAACTTTTGAAATAAAATAACCAGTCAATAAAATTTTATTTCAATTGTATACTTTATGTATCTGTTATTAATTTAATAAATATTTAATGTATTTGGAATAACTGAAAATACTAATTTATTAAGATTGACTTTTCAGACTCGTGTTTTTTTAAATGTACCATTTGGGTGAATTATTTGACCATTTAATACATAAACTAAATTTAAAAATTAAGATATTAAGATTGGTGTTAACAGATCAGCTAAATATGTGTAGAATTAATTTACTAATATAAATATGAAATATTTATACCTCATATTATTAATGGGGTGTGGGGAATTATATTTATTTACAGTGAATTAAATCATCTACCAATAGTTGTTATGAATTAGTTAAAGATGTTTGTTATTTTAATTACATTTTGTATGATAATGGGTTTAATGTATTCTCATTGTATACCTTCAGTTCACTATATATAATAATAATGCAGATTTGGAATTACATTGTAATTCTTTTTATATAAAAGGTTTTTAAAATATCCTACTGTATTGCWACCTGTTTTAGTAAGATGAACGTGCCTATTTTGATTACCAATACATATATTATGTGTTTTTCTATCAATATATAATTTTGTATCTTTTTTATATATAAATATATATATATATATATAATTTACTGTAATATTTGGTAAGCTAACTAAGGATTAAGTTAACCATAGAAGACATTTGATTTTCAATAGGAAATAATTAAATTATAAGACACACAATGTCGTCAAATTAAGCATTATAGTTAATTAAAACATTTTGTAAGTAATTAGGTATAATAAAGTAGTTTTTTGAGTGTCTGGATTATATTAGTATTGTATATATATATATATATGAAAAGTCTGCGACCTTCGGTCAGGTGTGTACCAGAGTTCAAATTGCATTTATATTGTTTAATTTATTTATAAATATATATATTTATATATATTTGTACTTTTTTCCTGCTTAATATTTCATCTGTCCGATGTGTCAATTCTATTAAAAATAAATGTCATTGATTCTAAATAGTATTTTATTTTGTAAAAATGTACAAACATCCTAAATCTAATATCGTTAATTAATTATACACATTTTATACTTTGTATATTATGATATAATCAATGTCACTTTTTAAAATATTTTAGATACTTAGTCCTATCAAATGAATCGTCCAATTCCTCTACTATTTTGACCTTTTGTTTTGGTCTTCTTGCTTCAATCCTGCGCTTGCGCTCTTCTTCACTAATTAAATTCATATCTAGAGGTAACTAAAATCAAATTTATTGTTATATCAAAAATTTTCAAAAAAAAAATATTTACTTTTATAATCATTCGAGGATCGTTGAATCTGATGGTATAACTTGAACCATCTGGTTGAATTATTTTGGTAAGGTAGTGTTGTGGATAAATTTTTCGATGAATTTTTGTAATTGCAGCTGACTTACTACTAAAAAAGCGACCGGATCTAAACAAAACATCATAAGTTATATTAAATAAMATAAATAACATATGGGCTATATAAAATTATATATACRTATATTATATAATACATATATGTGAAACTAGTGTTTTGTTTAATACTCATATTCAAACAAAATTGAATAGACGAGTGATGGATTGCTTTCAAATAGAAAAATATTAATACCACTACTTTATCAAAATATTAAAATATTTTTTTTATAAACCATCTAATACCTGTTAACAATTTCCAATTCACTAAAATTGAGAAAATATATAACTAATTCTATTCAGTAAATATACCTTTCAAAATAAAAGATATTCCTAGACCCCCCACCCCTTATTGGAAAGTTTAAATTATAAATTGTACATCAGAATACAGCAAAAATCGCAGGCAACAGAAAAACACCTAACCAATGTGTTGTCTGTACAAACAGTAATCACAATAYAGTAAATTTTTCTTCATTAATTACTTTTATTAGTTTCAATATAGGGTGAATTGACCTACTATCAAACTTATAGCCTTATAGGTAAGAATATTGTGTCTATCACARATTGTTAAGCATTGGGGATTTTTTGATAATTTTATTTCCAAGTAAAATTAGATTGTTTAGATAATCAAGACAMCTTTAAGATTTTATAGGGGTTCATCACCTCGAAGTAAGATAAAATTTAGCGAACATAATGTTCATTTTTGATATTTGTCTTGGGATCTTAGCCTTAATAAATTTACATATTCCTTGTAAAATAACACRTAACTTAGGTTTGTTTAAAATTCCATTCTACAAAACAAACATTGGTACTAATCTATTCCTCCCTAGAGCCCTTTTTTTAGCCAATATTATTCCTGCCAAACTTAATTTTTTTAATATGTCTCGTTATACCTTCAAAGCTAATACATTAATTATACTTAATAATAATAATTTAAATAGATGAATCAACTTTAATCTAAAATTGATTTTTATATTTTATTAATATTTTTACTTGCTATTCATTTACCTATTATTTTTATTGTTGTTTTAATTACTATTAGTGTTTTGGAAAACTATCCTAATTATTTTAACTTTGTTCCATTCTGTTTTTTTTTTAATGGWATTGCTCTTTAGTTTGTTGTCATATTGTATATTTTTATATTTTCTGTTTAAGGACTTATCATCCATTGAATATATATATAAATAAATTATCAAACACTATATACATATATAATACTTCAAAATACAACACTTGTGCATATTTCCATAGTGATTGTTTGAGTATTTGAGGTATATTGATACCTATAAGCATTCAAAAGCATTTATTATCAATTTGGAAACTTTTATTTATCATAAAACACTGTGGCTCATACTTTAACAAGTAGTTCAATTGTTCTTGCTCTAAGGTATCATAATATATTAATACATTATAAATTATAGTTTAAAATATTATACCTATAGGGTATAGTACTATACTAAGTATATACAATAATATATAGGTGTTGTTAAATATTTACCTACCTGGCGATGATGAGCATAATTATAAAATTTGTCGCACTTGTGTCTCGTACCAACAAAGAAAACAAAAGATAGCCAAAAATGACAGCCGACAGTCATAAATGAAAAATGTGTTTTGTAATTTTGTATGAATGCTTCTAGCTTCTAATGCTTCTATAGCCTGAACATTCTAACTTCTTGGTGCTTCTAATCAGAAAGCCAGTGATAAGCAGTTGTCCMAAAAATGATAAGGGTCCGGTATTTTTTTTTTTTTTGGTGATCTCGGTTTAATCTATTCTGTGGTGTGATCGACTTCTCAACGTCGTGTTGGTACTGTTGGTAGGTCTCCAGGATCATGTAATACAGTCCCGGATTTATTATAGACATTTTAAGTTTAAACCACGACTATATCAAGACTGTATAACCGAATTGACGCCAAAAACAAAATATCTTGTGTCTATTAACTAGATATTTCCTCACTAGGTTGCGTTGGAAACTTCATCAAAAAGTGATAACCATATTTAGTCATTGATTATAGAATATTCTATAATCAATGATTTAGTTATCATACAACATAATAATTAATAATTGTTCTATGCTATTTAAATTAGCCTAATTTATATCGATCTAACAAAAATCGAAATACGAAATTACAAATTAGTAAATTACGAAYTGTAAWTTAATACTAAAACTAAATTAACCATTGTTTCTTTATTGTAGGCATTTATTGACTTACATTACCATTTAAATTGGCCATTGTTATTGCGATACTTACAATATTAATACATCCAGTATATTGTTGAGCTATATAAGCTTATTACAGTATTTTAGATCATAATATTAACTGTTTAAAATGCCAAGCTATTTTGTGTGTGAATGAAATCCCGTCTTTAAGAATGTGGCCTAATAAATTGACACTATTTAAAGGACAGTGAAATATTCTATTTATTTTTTTCTATTGTAATATAGTTGCCAAGAATTATCATGCCAGATATTGCAGTCCATTATTATTTATTATATTAATCAGTGTTAATTCATTGTACATTAAGATTAGGTACCTAGGTGATGTATAATTCTTTAAATTATAATAAAAATAATAAATATAATATCTAAAGTCTTAAAATAAAATAGTACCTTATATATTATGTTAAATTTCAATTAGTGCCATTTTTGCTATGCTACTCCTATAACTTTTAAGCAGGGCTTGGAATCGAAATTAAAAACACCGGTATGTTAACCGGAACCCATTGAAAATATTGGAACCCTTTTTCGATTTTCCTAGGAACCCAAACCGGAACCGGAACCGATATTAATCGGAAGATAATTTTTCGGTTCTAGTTTTATTTAATTATTTAATATATTTAGGCAGGTAATACAATATATTATTAAATAATAGTTGATTCTTAAAATTTGGTTGTACTTTATACGTGTAATTATAATTGTACATTTCTATAATCTAACAGTTCCAGGAAATAATAAAATATGAGCATTTACCAAAATAAATATATAAATATTGTTATTTGCCCGTTGGTTTGTAAAGCATGTAGTTATGATTATTTCCATATTATATTTTATAACTTATAAATAGTTTTGTATACAATTTCTTGTAATGTAAGTTGATGAATGATGTCTAAAAATATAAAATGATTATTAAAACCATCAAAATACACACCCGTATAAATTGTTATCAGATTGTGACAAGGACTAATAATTATTAATATTATATAATGGTATACATATACAATATATACATAWTAAATATAATTTCTGAACAGTTTCTTATAATAATAAAATAGGACTGATGGGCGGATAACCAATAATTTTTAATATCGCAATATGCAATGTTCGTTTATTCTTATTATAAGCTATCGACTAAAGTGCACAATTGTGAATATTTGAATTTTGAATACCTTTATTTTTATTGACCATYCGAAAAACACTTTTCAGTAGGCACAATTTCAACTTTTGACTTGGGGGCTGAATATATTAAAGGCAAGCTGACCATTGCAATATAGCATTTTAAAATTGTATGTCATAGGATTTTGGGGGGGCTGCGGCCCCCTCCCCCTAGTTTGCGCCTATGGGTATATGAATTAAGTTTATACTTGGTTTTTTTTTACTTTTTGAAAAAAAAAAATTAACCTCTAAATACCGTTATTAACCGGTACCAGAACCGAAACCTTAATTCTAAAATTTTAAGAACCGGTACCGAATTTTTATTTTTTTGAAGAACCTAATTGGAACCGAAACCGAAAAAATCATAAAGGCTCCAAGCCCTCAATATTTTAATACATTACATAAATGTTAAACTGCCATAATTTTAAAACTGATTTTTAAACTACGATTTACAGCGGACAGCGAAATAATAATGGTTCAATCACAGATTATAATATTTATATAATCTGTGGTTCAATCATAGATCCATAGACAAAGAAAATAATATATAATAGGTCTATGGTATAAATGTATAATAATTGTATTTGGCTTATTGGCTTCACTTTTTACTTTTTTAGCAAAAACGGCACCGTGCCCGCGGTTRTTATTTTATATTATACTTATCTATGGCCCGCGACACCTACTCAATGGTTTAAACTTGGACAAAATTAGATTTTTTCATTGAAGATTAACGATATTTGTTATATTTATATTATTCAAAGATTAAAAAAGCGGGAAGTCGTGGATGTCGATCTGCTGTACGGTAGGTTACTGTAATGGATGGGATTAAATTTGAATACAATGATAGGTATCATTGTATACGTAAAACGATTCTGA